CCCCCCCCCCCCCCCCCCCCCAATGCTCTTTTGGCAGGCAGGTAAAAAACATTTTTGAACATTCTAAGTGAGGGATGATTTTATATAGAAGAGATATAAAACATTTATTAGGATAAGCTGTGAAAAATCAGAAGGCTTGTGTGGTCAACAGAAACCAAATCTCACTGGTAAGTATCCTTTCAGATTGCTATAAACTATATAAAAATGTAGCTCCCCCCAGCCTGACCCCTTCACAATATCATGCTAGTTGGAAAGGTGCCAGCATACCAATATTGGCTGGCTCCAATTCAAATTATTTCATTTTTGGCTTTTAGCGAACAGCCATAAGACTTGGTAAATTGCTCACTGCTAGAACTGTGGCCCCAAAGTCCCATATAGAATAAAAATATCAGCCAAGGCTGCCCTATTGGAGAAGGTGATTTTAAAACAACTTGCCTTTTTTATAGAGAAAAGAGTGTGCGTGTATTTGGGTGTGTAACAGTTTTATAACTCGAACACTTCTTATGTAGTTTTCGATCACAATTTTAGCTCTTGGCATATGATTAAGGGAAAAATGTTCTCAGTGGAGTGCTATGAAACCACACAAAGTTATTTTGCATTATTTATGCAATTATGTGCCTGTTATATATGTTGTATCTTAATTTCTTAAATATATACTGTGTAATGCTTTTATTCCTGAGTGCTGGTCCCCAAAGGAATACAAAGGGTGGCATCATGTGCTGTTCTGCACAACATGGTGTTTGTCTTCTTAGGAATTCTTTTGAGGAATCTTTATCGTCACAGTTTTAATTTCAGAATATTCTCTCAGTCCACATTCACCCCTAGAAAATGAAATTGTAGCTTATCAGCACATGCCCATATATTAATTTTTTTATGTATCCATAATATAAAGCAGATGAAATCATGATGCATAACTTCCAGGCACAGGCACAGGCAGGTTATTATACTACATACCTTTATGCTTAATTAAGGATCTTTCTAAAAAAACCCTGAATTTCAAGTTCCAGTTTGGGACAGACAGAGATGTGTTTTGTAGTAGGAGGTGGAGCCACTGTACAGTCCAATCTAGGATTGCAGCAGTAACATGAATCGATGGCCTTCAGCCTTGCCAGGGCTTGGAAGAACATTCGAGTGCTAAGAGGTAATATTTCAGCAGCACAATTAGCCCCCATGTTCCCACCTTAGAAAGAAAGGCCAGCAACTGAATGCCATGGAAATCAAACATCCCTAAACTAGACATGCACTTGCTCCCTTATCTGCCCTTTTCTTTTCTATGACTGGTTTCTGCCCAATATTTGGGGAAGGCAGGTAGCATCAGTTACACAGGATGGGGTGAAGGTATATCAAGCAGCAGGAACTTAGGGCATTAGCACCTACTCAGATGAAGTGTTCAAGCTGCTCAGACTCCCATAGCTAGAAATGCTTCTTTAGACCTGGCAAAGTGAGACCCAGCAGACCATACAATCCCTGGAGTAAAGCACTCTCTAAATCTCATCCACTGAGATTTGGTTCTGCTTTGGATAAATGATAGTAAAATCTGGCACCATCCTGGCTCTTGGTAGATATTTCTGAAATTAGGTCTGTCCCACGTCTTCTCTGGGACAATTCTTTGGAGTCAACAGTGCGACTCTTCACTCCTTTTCTCTAACAAGCAGCTTTTTAAATTTCCTCTGCATATATTTGGAGTGATTGGCAAGTTAGTATTTGATATGTATATTATAATAGTGCTTAGAAGCTGTAGTCAGGGATTGGGGTTCTAGCATGCAGGGTACCTCACATATATAAAACAAAAGACAGTTCCTGCCACGAATGCATGAATGGAGTATCTCTTCAGTCCAGCAAATTGCAGTACTAGCATTTTCCCACCCATTTGTAGAGGCATTTGATTCTTGTTTAGAAATTCCCCAGCACCTCTATACTTAGTACAGCTTCCTTATTTGTCCGAAGAAAAGCTGGAGAATTCCTGTCAGTGGACCTCATATTAGTGTGTTGGTACTTTGTGCTGCCATCTTTCTATATCTAGCTATGCAGAATATGCACCATTACAAATATTCTGGGGGCATGTCTACATGTTTATTAATGTACCATAGGCACTGCGCATTACCTTTAGTACTTGGTTAACCAAGTACTAAATCAATTCACAGTAACTCATGCTACTACATGGTAGTGCTGACACATGAGTTTTCAGTGGTGCTTACTGTTCAGTAGCCTAATACTACTGTGCAGTAGCACATTAGCATCGTTTTTTTGCTGGCATGCTACTGTGCCATGTTATTAGGCTCCTGTGCAGTTAGCGTCTCATGTAGACATGCCCGCAGCAGACTCTCCTGAACACCCTTTCAGAATTGGGTGAGGCTGCCCTCTTTAAACCTCTGGGTCTGTGCCTAATGCTGCACAGCTTGTTTAGAATTTACTTCCAAAGCATAGAGTTTACACAGAAAGTTTTTCCCAGTGCAACCCCTCTAATCTCCTCTTGGAGCATTAATTCATTTGATGAAATGTTAATATTCATCAGGCCATTCTACTCCACCTACAGTTCTGAACCCTTTCCAGGATGCCTGTTGGCACAGTAAACTTTACACCTGATTTAGCCAGCTAATATTTCACTCAGTCAGTAGGCAGCGTATCAACTACTAGAAGCTAAGTATAGGCAAGGAAAGGTACTCTTGAAGATTTTTTACAATAAAAGTTTGAATTGTACAAATCCCCACAACCTTCAGTGGAAAGTCTCAGTTTTGTCTTCCAAAGAATGACCAAACCAGTTAATTAATCACACTTGGCTGAGCCACAGAACCATGGTTCACTCAAGGCTGTCACAGAGCTGCATGGAGCCTAGGCACTAATGCTAATAAGTCTCTTTGTGTGAAAGTTTCTGTTTGATTCAGGGCTGAAACTTGGCTCCAAACACCTGTTGGACACATTTTTGTGAGTCAATAGTTAACCCAGCCAGGGTAGAATACAGCGCCTTTATGTACCTGCCAGCTATCAGCTGGTGTCTTGTCCTAGTCTGGCAAACATAGTTAGACATATCTATGGTCAACTTTTTTTCAGTAATAGGGGCCTTAAACACATTTTCTATTTTAAACTGCAAGAGGTAAATGTGAGATGCTGTGAAGCTACTAGGGGTGCGTGAAGATGCCCTATTCGATTTGGATTCGGATTCAGCCCGAATCAGGGACAGTGATTTGATTCATTGATTCAGATCACTGTCCCTGATTCGATTCAGCCAAATCTGAATCCGAAGATTCGATGCTGACTCGGAGAATCAGCGATTCCAACACAGACACAGCTTTAAAAGGTTTTTCTACATACCTCGAGGTACCAGCATGGCTTGCGATCGCTGCAATGCTGGGGCAGATGGACCGACCCACAGTGTGGGAGGGCTTCCACGTGTTCAGTGGTGAACCCAGAAGTGGACTGGAAGTACTTCCGGTCTACTTCCAGGTCTGCCAGGGAGTGCACAGGGCCCCCCCACACTCCCCCCAGTTCAGCAAGCAGCCACAGGGGGACCCCGGGTGCCCCCACAGACCCAGGAGACACCAGTTGCCAAGCCGGGGTGGGGGCACGGGGGCCACCCCGTGTGCTCCCCAGCGGACCCGGAAGTGCTTCTGGTCCACTTCCTGGTCTGCTGCTGAGTATGCTGGGGAGCTCCCCGCACTTCTGTGGGACGCTCCATCTGCCCCAGCATCACAGCGTTCAGGTATGTAGAAAAAACATTTAAAGCTATGTCTGTGCCTGAATCGCTGAATCTTTCCAAATCTTTCTGAATCTCTCCAAATCAATTTGGAGGGTTTCAATTTGATTTGGAGAAATTAAATAGTCCTCTGATTCAATTCAGATTTGTAGACTCAGCCACCAAAACTTTGCACAGCCCTAGAAGGTACTTGCTAATAGATTCTCTCTTTTATAAGCCAATCAGTATGTCTGATACAACCTAAGTAATCACAGAAGTAAGACTCCCAATGGCAGTGTTTGCAAGAGCATGAGAAAGCTGTCATAATGTTGCTGTTGAGCAGATAGTTTGGTTATACACCGTTTTCTGGAGTAGATAGATAATTGCATGTGCAGACATAGGGCTAGGTAGTCCCTACAATGTACTACTGCCCTGCAGAGAAGCAGGGGGCAGTATGGACGCCCTACTGCAGGGGTGGCCAGCCTGTGCCACAGATAGTGTAGGAAGCCTTGATGATTAAGACAGCAAAAGGGAGACCATAGATGTAGACACACAACAATGAACACTGATAGATACTCATAGGTAATTGGTAAGGGGGCATGAGGGGGGAACATGTCCCCCCTGACAGGGCCATCCCCCCACCGCTAATGGCATCTACTCACCAGCCCTGTCCCTGCCACTG